TTCATGAGGCCATGTCTGCTCGAGCAATAATATCATTAGTGTAGGTACTGTGACTAAAAAATAGTCCTTCTGCATGTCGTGTCACTACAATACCCATAAAATAGCCCAGCGGTCCCAGATCATTTATAGCAAACTCATAGGCAAGAAGCCCATGATAGATTTGCATATGTCATGAGAGGAACTGGTGAGGATGATGTCATCAACATAAAGTAAGATGTAAGTCATGTCGGCGCCATGATGGTAGATGAAGAGAGAGTGATCAAAGGTATAATAGTGAAATCCAATGATGAAGGTATAGTCAGCAAAATATTGGTACCAGGAACGAGGTGCATGCTTCACACCATTGAGAGATTTTTGCAAGCGACACACATAATCTGGGTGATAGGGTCGCGGAAACCCAATCGTTGACGTGTATATAAACGGTTTCATGAATATCTACATGAAGAGCAAACGAGCGAAAAAACCCCCTTTGACGATCTCTCTAATCACGAGTGTGCATTAGAATTTTTTGTTTTTAAATGAGGTAATAAGCTCTTGTCCTATAATTTTTTTCTATATATAAAAATATTTTAATCAACAATATGTTTTTTACCGTATTTAAATATTATTTTTATTTTAGCGTTATTTATATAAATATTTGAATCAATGGTAAACCTATTCCCCGTATATAAATTTTAATTAAAAATCATTTTTTTAGACTTGGTCAAATCTATTTTTAAAAATGATCAAACATAATAAAATTAATTATACACCTTTACAATTACTTTTGATTCTTTTAAAATAGAAACAAAAGATAGTCGTATCAAATTTTTAAAGTATACATATTTTTTAAATTTTAAAAAATAATTATAAATAGAACTAAATTAAATATAGTTATAGTCAATTATACAACATAATTAAATAGAATTAAATATTAGTATTAAAATTAATTATGCAAAAAAAATTAAGTATTGTTATAACAAACTTTAATAACAAACTTAAATATAAAGATACTAATAAATTTTTATCACATTTCTAATATTCTATAAAACAAATGCACATAAATAATTTAAATAATCTTATTTGAAGTTTCTTCAACTTATAAAATCAAAATATAACTAAGGTGGAGCAATTGACAAATTCTGTAATAGAAGTAAAAAAACTTAAATTGTAGCTATCGTGCATAAACACATTAAAATCCTTTTCTCGATAATTTCTCTTTTGCAAGCAAAAACATGAACATTTTGGTCTCAACTACAAACCCATGCATCTTTGAACATATCATCCTACAATTACAAAACATTTTGATTGTTCGGTAAGCTTTTCAATCATTAAACACTCTTAAATCAAAAAGGTTTGATAACGTAAAAAAAGAATCTTGAACAAATTCAATAAGATTTTAATATTGAATACAAAATATTTGCAACATCATACTTCTTTTACTTAATAATTAATAAACTTTTATATTATCATACAATTTTAATATTATTTAATTTAAAATTTACTTATTTAATAATAATATTATCATAAATTTCATTTAACATCATTTATTTAAGATAATAATATCAAATATATATGACATCTTTATTAATAATAAAAAGACTTTAAATTAAGTATTAAATATATTTTTGATCAAAAAATTAATATTTTGAATTATTACAAAAAAAAACTTTAAACTTCTATTAGAAATTGAAATAATAGACTTAAGAAATATTTGATATTTTAATAGACTAATTGAAGTTTAAATGCACATAAACATAAATATAAAATAATAGATTTAAGAAATATCTTCTAATAAAAATATACAATTGAAAACATATACAAAATATAATCAACTCTCAATTAGCTTATAATTCAAATCACACAAAAAAAAAACACGATCAAAATATAAGAAAATTGAATATAGAATCTAACATTTGTATCATAGTGTAGAAAAATCAGAGGAAAAGTTGGAAACAACCTGAATAGCAGAAGGATTGCTTGAACAACATAAGTTTTGAGTTAAGTGGCTGTACTAATGTTCAAATTTCTAAGCTCATCTTCTTCATTTACTCTTTAATGAAAACATGTCCACATCCAACAAACCAAAACAAATCTTAGCTTAATTCCAAGGAAAATTAACTACCATATTTTGTTTGAATATAAAAGAAAATCAAAAATGCTCAAGTGTGTTGCTACGGTCAAATTGGGTGCAATACCACCAGCACTCAAGGTCATGATAAAATTCTACATTATGTTTCAACATTATATCTATTATCAACAACACCCTGAGTCGACCGTAAAATGCTTCCATTCAACGTAATGCAAGATATTCTATATTGTAGTTAATGATACATTTTAGCTCATACCGATGCATTTTACATATATCAGTAGAGTACAAGTTTAAAATTAATTTACCTTCTACAAAGAGTAGTATATAAGATCTAAGAATGATGTAAATTGGCTAAAAACAATCCATTTTATAGAGATACCTCTTTCAATCGTGAATGCTCATTACTGAAACTTCTTCGGATTATTACAATATGTGACTGCAAATATATATATATATATATATATATATATATATATATATATATATATATATATATATATATATATATATATATATATATATATATATATAAAATTTAAATAATCTCTTACTTCATAACGTGAAGGCAAGAAAACTTCAAGTAATTTTCTATGCACTTATAAAATGTGATCCACAATATTTTTACAGCTCCGAAAAATAAAATAAGATATAAAATCACCAAAGCATGAAGATAAAATTGTGATAGATATGAGACTACACCTCCTTCTTCAAGTTACTGAAGTTTTTTCCTCTTCGGACTAACATATTTTTATACTCCTTCAAAGTTTTAATTTAAATTTGTGAATTTTGAATACTCCAAAATAGATTTAGAATCATAAGACAAACAACATTTAAATTTAAATTTTATTATTACAACAGTCATAAATGTTATCATGTCTATTTAAAAATTATTAACCATGTGTTATATCTTTATTAAAATGAACATCAAATAAATAAATATTATTTATTAAAAAAGGACATCATGTAGTTTTTCTAGTATTATATTCGAAACACGAAAACCATTTTTTCAATTCCTCCTAACCAAACAAACCCTTAAATCAAATTCCAATTCAAATGCCAAAAACCTATTTTCTCTCTTAGAACACAACGTTTTCTTCTCCTTCATTGTTACCAAAAAAACATTTTTTTTATCCTAGCCAAATAAATCGTACACTTTTCTCTCTTACCAATTCAAGTGAAAAAAACATTATTCTCTCTCTCTCTCTCTCTCTCTCTCTGAAACAATTAACCTTTCTTTCTATAAAAGACATTTATCTCTCATAAAAACACAGGTTTTTTTGAACAAATCAATAACAAATTTTTCATTTCTCATATTCATTAAAAGAAAATAAGAAACGATAAATTGGAATAGAGCTAAACCTCTAAGCTTCAATGGTTTTGGTGGAACGGAGATAGTTGTGCAACTCGGAAAAAAAAGGATAGCATGCATTGGCTAGAACTGTGTGGAGGTTCATCAGATATTTTTAAAAAGTTATCTGCACTTTTTAAGTCAGGTCGATTGCACTTATTAAGTCAGGTCTGGTTATCCGATTAAAGAAACTTGTTGATGTTTGAAATTTGAAAAACTGTTTGAAATTTGAAAATTATTCCGTACATTTTAAATTAGGTATCCGTTTAGAAAATTATAGAAGTCATGTATATAATGCAAAATTGTGTATTTTCATGAACCATTGTCATTCTAAACTATTATAAACCTTCATGAAAATGTCTCAAGCTTTTACATCAATTCATAAAGGTATCTTAGGATGTATTTAAGTCAAAATATATTATTTTTCAAATAACCTCTTTCGTTATTAATATTCACATCAATTCAAACAATTTCAAGTGTTCATACAAATTTTAACAATCAAACTTTGTGCATCACTTTCATATCATTCAAAGAGTTTCATTCAAACTTTTTGAGCACTTAAATTTTATATATTATTGAATTATAACATTGAAAGGGAATATAAATCTTTATCTTGGAATTCATTCAAGTTTCAAATACTTAAGATTATTCAAAAAGTGTGTTGTATCTTAATCACCAAATTTATTGTGATAAGTTGTTTATTGTAACTTAATCACCAAAAAATGTGTTGTAACTTAATCACCAAGACATTTTGTGCACTACTTGTGCTATCTTTAGGCTTGATTTGTAACTTTTAACAGGTTGTACCTTTTATAGAGATTTTTACTAGTTGAGTTGCATTTTCCAAAAAAAAAATGCATATGGCTCTAATTCATTGAAATGTGTAAGAATGGTTGATGCATCAAGACAATGTAATGTTCTCGAAAACCCTAAAGAGTGAATCTTAATTTAACACTTAGCTAACAAGTATGCCCAAAATTGCCAAACAACATAAAAACTCTTTAATTATTTATTTTTTCGTTATTATAACTATTAGCTTAAATGTGTATATGCTTTATATTTTTTCATCTATACCTTATAAATATAAATAGTGTTTATCCTTAAATAATATTGATATATTTTATGCTATAGATTTAATATATATATATATATATATATATATATATATATATATATATATATATATATATATATATATATATATATATATATATATATATATATATATATATATATATATATATATATATATATATATATATATATATATATATATATATATATATATATATATATATATATATATATTGTTTACTGACAGAGATGCACAATAATTTATTGTAAGGTATGGTGAGAACATTTTACACGTCAGTACATAACAAGGTAATGCAGGTTAAAAATTAAAATTCAAATTGAATTTAAGAATTTTTGTAACAAATTAATTTTAAAATAGAAAACGTTCAAATTATAGATTATGTTGTTAACAACTCATCATTCTTGTCATCATCTTCAATTTATAGATTGTTCTTCCTTTATAAATATGAGTGAAAATGATTAATCAAAATATATTATAAACTTACAATGTCTTTCTTAAGTTCTTTCACTTGTTTTATTTTCTCTTTATACATTTTTTTGGTCATTTCTAAATGTCACTGTGATGTTAATGCTAGCCATATCACATCAAAACTAGTGATTGATGCTGGTTCTGGAAGGCTTATTCCGGATACATTTTTTGGAGCATTTTTTGAAGTAAATTTTAATTTCAATATATTTTAATATCTGTGAAGATTACATATAAATTACTATTATAATTTCATCTTATAATACATTGATGTAATATATATTTTTTAGGAGATTAATCACGCAGGAGCTGGAGGATTATGGGCAGAACTTGTGAATAATAGAGGTATGTATATTGTCACTTAAAAAATCATCTTTGAGTTTATTTTCCTAATAAGAGACAAATTTAATATATTTACTTTAAAAATTTATGTTACTAATTTTGTTTTCATTGTAATATTTCTTTCCCACTTCTTAGATCTATTTCACTATTTTAAATCTTTCGTAAATTAATGTTTCAGGTTTTGAAGCAGAAAGTTCCATTAATGGGACCTCAAATATTTACCCATGGACAATTATTGGAGAAAATCAATCATCCATTATTGTATCAACAGAACGTTCTTCTTGTTTTGAACGTAACAAAATTGCATTACGTATGGATGTTCTCTGTCATAAAAAATCTTGTCCACATGGTGGTGTTGGTATTTCCAATCCAGGTTTTTGGGGAATGGTGAGTATCAATTAATACGACATTTTATTTATCTTATGAAAAAAATAAAGTTATTTATAATATTTGTTCAATGTTTTATATAAACAGAATATTGTGGAAGGGAAGAAATATAAAGTAGTGTTCTATGTTAGATCACTTGGTCCAATTAAATTACAAGTTTCATTTGTTGGATCTGATAATGGTGTCAAATTAGCTTCAAAAAAAATAAGGTTATAATTATATTTATTTAATTTATTATTTGAAACTACATCTTGTTCATTATTTTATTATTATCAAACTAAAATTAACTAATTATTGAGTTATTAATGAATGAATGCCAGAGCTTCTGGAGTTAATGTTACAAAGTGGAGTAAGATGGAAACAATTCTTGAAGCCAAAAGTACTAATCATAATTCAAATCTACAAATAACAACAACCAAAAAAGGAGTATTATGGTTAGATCAAGTCTCAGCCATGCCTTTAGATACATATAAGGTATATTATGCATAAAATTATTTTTATATTATTTATTTATTTATTTTGAGATTATTTAGTTTTTTTCTTTTATAAGAATTTATCTCATTAATCATTATTGGACATAGGGTCATGGTTTTAGAAATGACCTTTTTCAAATGGTGGCAGATTTAAAGCCAAAAACTTTTAGATTCCCAGGTATGGTACAATATTATTGAGTTGGAATAGCTTTAAGTAGTTGTTTCTTTAAAGGAAAATTTTGATTCATATCCATCTTCTTCTTTTTTAACTTTACTAAGTTACAAAAATATAACATATTTTTTTACATAGGTGGTTGTTATGTTGAGGGAAATTATCTAAAAAATGCATTTAGGTGGAAAGATACAGTTGGAGCATGGGAAGAGAGACCTGGCCACTATAATGATATGTGGAAGTATTGGACCGATGATGGATTTGGTTATTTTGAAGGACTTCAAGTAATTTTTTATGTTGTAAATATTAAATATTTTTCTTTTCAAATTAAAAAATATTAATTTTTTTTGTGTATTAAACAGTTATCAGAGGATCTTGGTGCATATCCAATATGGGTGTTTAATAATGGTATTAGTCACCATGATGAAATTAATACGTCTGAAATTTCACCATTTGTACAAGTATAATTTTCTTAATATTATTTTATTAACTAATTTTTATTTGTAATTTTAATTAATCAATTCATTGTTTTTTATACTTTTTATCATTAATTAATAGGAAGCTCTAGATGGTATTGAGTTTGCTAGAGGTTCTACTCAATCAAAATGGGGTTCTCTTAGAGCTTCCATGGGACATCCAAAGCCATTTGATTTGAGATATGTTGGAGTTGGAAATGAAGATTGTGGTAAATATAACTATCTAGGAAATTATCTCCAGTTCTATAAAGCTATAAAATATAGATATCCTGATATTCAGATCATCTCAAATTGTGACGGTTCTCAATATCCATTAAATCATCCCGCCGATCTTTATGATTTTCATGTAATAATATTGTTGATTTAATTATTAATTTATTTTTCAATTTTTTATTATTATATTATTATCTTTTTTAATTATTAAATTTTAATTTAGGTTGAGTAACTTACATCTTATTATTGTTAATTTTTTTTCAACTATTAGATTTATACAAATTCTAAGGACATGTTTTCCCAATATACCAAGTTCGATAAAGCACCACGATCTGGTCCGCCAAAGGTTTAATTATTAAATATATTTTTTCATTTATTTATAAAATAATGAATTATATTTTCTAGAAGGCAGATTAAACATTTAAAAATTTATTGATATAGAAAATTTGCTCATGTTATATTAATTTCATTTTATAGGCATATGTTAGTGAGTATGCTGTTTGGAGGGAAGATGCAGGTAATGGAAGCCTTTATGCAGCTTTGGCTGAAGCTGCATTTCTTATTGGACTCGAAAAAAATAGGTTAGGTTTTATTATATATAACATTTTCCGTTACATTTAGTTTATAAATTTTGTGTTTTTTGAGCTAAATTTTAATCATTTTTCAATTTTCTACAGTGATGTTGTCAGCATGGTTGCCTATGCACCCCTCTTTGTAAACACAAATGACAAATAGTAATTTTCTAATTTCTCATCATTTATTTTTAATTATCATTTATATATGTAAAGAAATAGATGATTTATTTATTTACTTTTTACATATGAAACAGTTGGATTCCTGATGCAATTGTATTCAACTGTTATCAAAATTATGGAACTCCAAGTTATTGGCTCCAACAATTTTTTATTGATTCTAATGGAGCAACCTTTCTTAATTCAACTCTCCACAACTCTTCTAGCTCAATTGTTGCCTCAGCAATTCAGTATAAAAATTCTCAAGATGGGAAGAATTATCTAAAAGTCAAGGTAAAACAACACAAATTTTATCAAGAATAAATATTGATTTAAAATATTTAATTATTAATTAGTTAACTTTGCAACTATTGACTTGTGCAGGTAGTAAATTTTGGAAACTCGACTGAGTATTTAGAGATTTTAATAAATAATTTAAAATCAAATGTGCAACAATCTGGTTCATCAAAAGTGATGCTTACATCCTCGAATAAAATGATGAAAATTCTTTCTCCGAACCAACAAAGGTACACTTTATGTTTTAACGCAGTATGTAGCTTGTCATACGTATATATGGTGATTTTTTGAAATCAATTTCTTTATGTTTTAATTTAACTTTTATTTTGATAAGTTGTTTTAATTTATGGTTAATCAACATTGATTATATAAAAATTCTAATACATGATTTTGTTTCATTTTGTATATGTACAGATTGTGCCCAAAAGAACTTCACTGAAATGCAAGAAATGACATGAATGTTGAACTTGCTCCCTATTCAGTTACATCATTTGATTTATTAATTTAAAACACTATGGTGGAATATTTTTTAGAAAGAATAAATGGATGAAATGTATATATTTATATTTATATTACATAAAGTATTTCTCGGCTTACCATCCATATGCACTGTTGTATATATTTCTATTTCTATTTCTTTTCATTTCATTTGTGAATTTTAATATCAAAATTAGTATAAAAAAATATACTCAAGCCAAAAAGAATTTGATACATTACAGGTTGAAACCCAAATGAAGACAAGAACACATTACAATCTTGAAACATATGTGAATATTCCTTCTAGTAAAGCGATGGTAAACTAGTACTTGGAAAATATGTCTTCATCAAAACTATAAAAAAATTAAAATATGGTGGAACGTTAGAGAGGCGGTTAATGCAAGATATTGAGATAAACCGTGTTAGAATTATAATATCTAGTTTGTATTATATATATAGTTCATTGCATGTTATAGTTGATGTGGGACTTGTATACAAATATTCTTTAACAAAATAATACATATTCTATCACTTTCCCACAGTCAAAGCGAGAGGTTGACGGATGCTTAGACTAGTCTGTAAATCATCAAAGATAACTCTAGGGAGGCCTTTGGTGAAGATATCAACAATATGGTTTGAGAAGGAACATGAAGAATGTGGGCTTGATCACGAACGACCTTCTCTCGGATAAAGTGAATGTCCATCTCAATGTGTTTTAGGAATGAACATGAAGAATGCTGGATAGGATTGTCGAATAGGAAGATAGAACTAACATTGTCATAGCATACAAGAGTATCCTGGGAAATAGGGAAAATTAATCTCCAACAGAAGGTTGCAGATTCAACATGATTCTTAAACTTCATTAATAATGCCCTGGTACTCACCCTCTGCACTAGAACGGGAAAGTGTGGGTTGTCTCCTGGAAGACCATGCATTTAGGTTCTCAAAAAAAAACACAATAACCCAATGTAGATCGACAAGTGTCGGGACATCCACCCCAATTAGCATTTATGCAGGAAATAAATTTCTTGATGGGAGAAGGATAGAGATGCAAACCATATTGTAATGTGCCTTGAATGTAATGTGGGATGCGTTTTAGTGTAGGCACGTGCTCAATGCAGGGAGCATGCATGTAAAGACACACATGTTGGACAATATATATAGGAGATGCCGAGACGGGTAAATGTGATTTACTTCATAGTGGCAAGGCTCTGATATAATGTAGGATCATCATATGGAGTATGGGAAGATGTATTTAGATTTTGCTTGGTGTCAACGGGAACAGAGGAAGGTTTTCATGAGGCCATGTCTGCTCGAGCAATAATATCATTAGTGTAGGTACTGTGACTAAAAAATAGTCCTTCTGCATGTCGTGTCACTACAATACCCATAAAATAGCCCAGCGGTCCCAGATCATTTATAGCAAACTCATAGGCAAAAAGCCCATGATAGATTTACATAGGTCATGAGAGGAACTGGTGAGGATGATGTCATCAACATAAAGTAAGATGTAAGCCGTGTCGGCGCCACGATGGTAGATGAAGAGAGAGTGATCAAAGGTATAATAGTGAAATCCAATGATGAAGGTATAGTCAGCAAAATATTGGTACCAGGAACGAGGTGCATGCTTCACACTATTGAGAGATTTTTGCAAGCGACACACATAATCTGGGTGATAGGGTCGCGGAAACCCAATCGTTGATGTATATAAACGGTTTCATGAATATCTCCATGAAGAGCAAACGAGCGGAAAAAAAAACCCTTTGACGATCTCTCTAATCACGAGTGTACATTAGAATTTTTTGTTTTTAAATGAGGTAATAAGCTCTTGTCCTATAATTTTTTTCTATATATAAAAATATTTGAATCAACAATATGTTTTTTACCGTATTTAAATATTATTTTTATTTTAGCGTTATTTATATAAATATTTGAATCAATGGTAAACCTATTCCCCGTATATAAATTTTAATTAAAAATCATTTTTTTAGACTTGGTCAAATCTATTTTTAAAAATGATCAAACATAATAAAATTAATTATACACCTTTACAATTACTTTTGATTCTTTTAAAATAGAAACAAAAGATAGTCGTATCAAATTTTTAAGTATACATATTTTTTAAATTTTAAAAAATAATTATAAATAGAACTAAATTAAATATAGTTATAGTCAATTATACAACATAATTAAATATAATTAAATATTAGTATTAAAATTAATTATGCAAAAAAAATTAAGTATTGTTATAACAAACTTTAATAACAAACTTAAATATAAAGATACTAATAAATTTTTATCACATTTCTAATATTCTATAAAACAAATGCACATAAATAATTTAAATAATCTTATTTGAAGTTTCTTCAACTTATAAAATCAAAATATAACTAAGGTGGAGCAATTGACAAATTCTGTAATAGAAGTAAAAAAACTTAAATTGTAGTTATCGTGCATAAACACATTAAAATCCTTTTCTCGATAATTTCTCTTTTGCAAGCAAAAACATGAACATTTTGGTCTCAACTACAAACCCATGCATCTTTGAACATATCATCCTACAATTACAAAACATTTTGATTGTTCGGTAAGCTTTTCAATCATTAAACACTCTTAAATCAAAAAGGTTTGATAACGTAAAAAAAGAATCTTGAACAAATTCAATAAGATTTAAATATTGAATACAAAACATTTGCAAACATCATACTTCTTTTACTTAATAATTAATAAACTTTTATATTATCATACAATTTTAATATTATTTAATTTAAAATTTACTTATTTAATAATAATATTATCATAAATTTCATTTAACATCATTTATTTAAGATAATAATATCAAATATATATGACATCTTTATTAATAATAAAAAGACTTTAAATTAAGTATTAAATATATTTTTGATCAAAAAAATAATATTTTGAATTATTACAAAAAAAAACTTTTAAACTTCTATTAGAAATTGAAATAATAGACTTAAGAAATATTTGATATTTTAATAGACTAATTGAAGTTTAAATGCACATAAACATAAATATAAAATAATAGATTTAAGAAATATCTTCTAATAAAAATATACAATTGAAAACAAATACAAAATATAATCAACTCTCAATTAGCTTATAATTCAAATCACACCAAAAAAAACACGATCAAAATAAAAGAAAATTGAATATAGAATCTAACATCTGTATCATAGTGTAGAAAAATCAGAGGAAAAGTTGGAAACAACCTGAATAGCAGAAGGATTGCGTGAACAACATAAGTTTTGAGTTAAGTGGCTGTACTAATGTTCAAATTTCTAAGCTCATCTTCTTCATTTACTCTTTAATGAAAACATGTCCACATCCAACAAACCAAAACAAATCTTAGCTTAATTCCAAGGAAAATTAACTACCATATTTTGTTTGAATATAAAAGAAAATCAAAAATGCTCAAGTGTGTTGCTACGGTCAAATTGGGTGCAATACCACCAGCCCCACTCAAGGTCATGATAAAATTCTACATTATGTTTCAACATTATATCTATTATCAACAACACCCTGAGTGGACCGTAAAATGCTTCCATTCAACGTAATGCAAGATATTCTATATTGTAGTTAATGATACATTTTAGCTCATACCGATGCATTTTACATATATCAGTAGAGTACAAGTTTAAAATTAATTTACCTTCTACAAAGAGTAGTATATAAGATCTAAGAATGATGTAAATTGGCTAAAAACAATCCATTTTATAGAGATACCTCTTTCAATCGTGAATGCTCATTACTGAAACTTCTTCGAATTATTACAATATGTGACTGCAAAAATATATATATATATATATATATATATATATATATATATATATATATATATATATATATATATATATATATATATATATATAATTTAAATAATCTCTTACTTCATAACGTGAAGGCAAGAAAACTTCAAGTAATTTTCTATGCACTTATAAAATGTGATCCACAATATTTTTACAGCTCCGAAAAATAAAATAAGATATAAAATCACCAAAGCTTGAAGATAAAATTGTGATAGATATGAGACTACACCTCCTTCTTCAAGTTAC